AACTCAATGGCAACCTGTCTGAAAGTAGTACAAAATGCTGGTTATCTAGATCTTTAAGTGCATTTGCCAAAAGCCGCCTTTCAGCATCGACCATTGAAATTTTTCCCCATGAGACCTGCAATTGTTAGTCATGAATAAAATAGTTAGCTACTTAAATTCTTAATTCAGCCTTTCTGACTTTTGAAAAGATGGGTGCAAAAGGATTATAATCTAGAAAAGTTTTGCCCTTGTGACAAATAAGACAGATAACCTCAATTTAATATTATCTAGTGCTTTTAAATAAAACAATTTATGACAATTAGGTCATGGACGTATAATTTGTATTGCATATTAGCAACTAGTGTATACACAATAATAATTGAAGTTCAACATACTAGAACAAGCTCAATGCATATTTACATAGACAAGTATTCAAGAAAATAAAATCTTAATTGAATAGCAAATTTTGTATTACGATAAAAATGTCAAAGATATCATGTAAGTATGTAGCATTAGTTCTAAAAATAGAACCTGACTATCTACATCCCTCGTTCATAGTTTCATACTTCGTGTGCAAATTTATTTTACCCATGCATAGGCTCGTAGCTACTTGTGAAGTAAAACAGATATACAGAAAATGACCCACTTCAAATAGGTCTGGATAAGAATATGTAATTCTTAAAATTAACAAAAACTATTACGCGAAAACGGAAGTTATATTTGTTGTTGACCGACGACAAGAAGAAAGTAGAGAATTGGAGAAAAAACCTTGCTGCTACGAATCTCCCGATTGATGAAATAACGGCTAAAATGTACAGGCTTATCCTTGGATGCATGCACGTACACAGAGAACCTACCTTCATGGCCCTGCCAGATAGACAAAATTTTTTAGGATCAAAATTCATTCAAGGTGAAAAACAAAATGGCATGCCATAAAAAACACAATGTATAACAATAAATGTACATAAACAAGGAATATTTATTTCCCTTTTCATGAATAAGAAAAATAATTATTTCTCATGCTACACATCAAGAAAAGACACCCTATCTGCACCAAGATATCACTGTATCAATTTTGTAGAAGAGAACTTCAGCACAAAACAAGAATTACCTGGAAAAATTTATCCCACAACCTCTCAAATGGTAGTGCCCCTGGTGTTAGGAACAAGAATGCAATTTTGGGGTTTGCAGGTATAGAAGGTTGCATACTCAGAATATCTTTAATCACAACTCGAGAAGCAAATTCATCATCACTAAGCTCCCTAGCAGGCACAGGAGGAAGCCAATTTTGCAATGCCTTACAGCCATGAGATGACAACAAATAACACGCTGCGGAGTTCTGAGGAGGATAGACGTAAGCACAAACTAAGAACAAACTAACTAAACAAACCAACACAATAATCCATGTTGGCTTCTTTAATTGACCACGCTGGCGAGGCCCTGGCAGCATTTGCATGTCTTTCGTGCCAAGACGCCATGCCTGAGCTGACTTCATTTAGAAATGATGCATCACAGGTTAACTCCTGCAAATATTTTGTAACTTCTACCACATATTGCCCCGTAGTTTAAAATTGGAATCAATAACCCAAGTCACAATGGACCCTGTAAGAATCTGTAGAAAAGTGCATAAAATTCATCAAACAACATGTAAGACAATAGCAGAAAATTAAAATTAACGCAATAAAAATTCCATATGCTGATACAGCAAAGAATATTTATCCAACTAAAATACGAGCAGGGTTGGTAGGAGCATCGAGCCGCAAAACTCACAGATGCAACAAATCATTGCAAACAATTTACTCTGAAAGGAATAAGAATCGTAACCTCCAAAAAACGAAAGAAAAACTTATATATCTTAACCTAAAGTCACCGTAGATGCAGAAAACGAAAAATTACACGGCAATCATACACACGTCATTACTATAGCTGGACAACGGGTCCGATTTCTAAGAAATATTAATTAAAAAAACCGAAACAGCTTTAGCAAGAACCAAACAGAAATTCAAATTTGTAAAGCCGCAAACACAGGGCAGTCCACAAAACAGGACACAAATTACAACACAACTCATCAAACGACAATCACCAAAAACTTTTCAAGTAAAATTATCGAAGAATACCTGATTACTTCGACAATGGATTAAAAGAAGAGATGAAAAGGAGATCGGGGGAGACTGGATTCGTGAAGACAAAAAAAAAAAGGAATCCGTCGCGTATGTGTACACCCACGCCTGCAAATACAGCTACGCTACATGTGTGTTGGGATCTGAGACACGTTGAATGATTGAATCCAAATCAGAGAGAGGCTCTGCGTATCCGGAGACGAAGGTGACCGATACGTACAATTGTGTGTATGTATGTGTGAAGCGTATCGAAAATCCGAATCACGCTAATACAGAGAGATCGATACGATTGAAAAAAGAAATGGTGAAAATGTGAGGATTTTGCAGATGGATTTGAAGGATTTTCGATGCAAATGGTGTGCGAACAGTGCGTGTAGTGTGTGTTTTTGGGGAATTTGATTTGGTAAAATATTTATTTTCGTGGTATTGTTTAATAATTTTAAATCAGCAATAATAATAAAATAATGCTGGCCGCAATTATTTCAAACAAAATTAATTTGTAAACAAGCACGCAATTATTTCAAACAAAATTAATTTTCAAATAATTGAACTAAAACGCCCCTAATATCTATCTAGTTATTCATCATAAGAGTAAAAAGATGTGAAATTAAAAATTATTATTTGTTGGTATCTTATATATTAGGTCTTCATGTATCCATTCAATGCCCAACATTTTATTTTTACATAAACTTACCTACATTTGGTAATTATCTTCATTTTTAAATTTGAACGCATTTATATTTGCCCAAAATATGAAAGTTGTGAAACAAGGCATATTGTTATTGTTACTAGTGCGTATCCCGTGCGATGCACGAAATATATATAAATTTGGAGAATATTATAATTTGACATGCATTAGGATATATGAGAGTTTAATACATACGAACATTATTCAATCATAAAATGTTCGTCACGAAAAAATTTATATTATTAAAAACTTCTGTGTACACAACATTATGAGTTTAATTATTGGATAACTCGTTGTGAGGAGCACGGGCCGGACACGGGCTGCGGAAACTAGGCCTCACACAACTGAGCTCCCTTGCTGGGCTTCTCTCCTAGGCTGCTGATGCTGATTGCTGTTGTCGAAAATATTGTCTCAAAGAGTTATATTTTTGGCAATAAAGTTCAAAAATTAATATAAGTGAAGATATATTCTTGCAAGCATGAGAAATAAAAAGGGAAGTTCTTTTATTTATATTTATATTTATATATTCGAATTTATTTATATTTATATTTATATATTCGATTTATATACATATATATTAGATTTGCATGATCTTATTATGGATATATTTTGTAAGAAATCATATAAGAAGGAAAGATCTTTGGAAAGAGAAGATAGAAATCTACACCTACCATATCTCTTATGATTTACATGGAAGGAAATTGGATTAAAGAAGGATTGTTTGAAGTGAGAGAAAGAAGAGTCCTAAACTTGGAAGGAAATCAAAAAGGAGTCTTGTACTTGGAGAACACTCCACCCTAAGGAGATTGTATATATACCTGCTTGAAGATCGAATTTGGAGAGCTGAGAGCATTATCTTCTATTCCATATTCGAGCTGCAAGCTTTTTGTGTTTTATTTTCGTTGTTCAGTTTTCGGTGTTCTTACGTCATCGAAGAACTGAAGTCTTTTTCTTTTGTTTTTTATTCAAACACTTGTATAATCAGTGCTTAGGGATTAAGTACTGTCTTTAGCTCGAGGGATTCGAGGGGTAAAGTCCACGGGACGTGGTCGGAGAAGTAGTTGATAGAATCGTGTGTAGTTGTGGCTAGGCTAGAAGGGAGTTCGAGTCGTGTAAGTCCAAACTATACAAGTGTGCACAAACGGTTTATCAATGAAAGAGCTCTGAGGGGAAGTGGGACGCTTCCCTGAAGAGTTTTTAAATCTTCGGTTTATTGCTTCCGCTATTCTAGTTGTTTATTTGTGTTCTAACAACGTTGAGCGCACTCGTTACAAAATACCTACGTTTCATTGTCTCACTCACTTGGACAACTTTTCTTATTTCTAACCATGTTATAAATTATATTTTATTCCAAGTTTAAAACTTTTACATTCCTATTTTATGTAGATAGTTATTTTATATTCTCAGCTATACTAATAAAGCATGTTTTTAGTTTGAATCGTGTAATTAATAGTGAGTTAAATCTATACATATATAATAAGAATTACCATTTAACAAAATAGTAGCAAAAAAATAGGAGAGAATTTAATACAACCTATAAATAGTAAGTTTTATTGGTTTTTTATTTTTATCTTTAAAAAATCATACAACATTAATGTTGCATTAAATTTTTGGCTTTAAATTCATTTTATTATTTAAAATTTCTAGCTAAAATCTATTAAGTGTGCATTTTTTATTTTTATTTTATTTTTTCATAGAAATAACGAAGAACATTAAAATCTCAGTCTCTATATTTATAAAATCTCAATTCAAAAGGTAATAAAAATTTTAGAATATCGGTCTTTAAATTTATGTCTTTCAAAAAAAATATTGAATGCTATTCGTTAAATATCATTTTCCACTAATCATCACAATTTTTTTATTTAAAACGTGTGATAATAAACTTGGTAATGTTTATCACTTCTTTGTTTACCAATCTATTGTTTTTTCTATACTCAGTTTCAAAAGGTAAAATAATTATCGAATTATCAGTCTCAATAATTGTGCATTTAAAAAAACAATATTTAATGATAATATATTATTTGTTAATAGTAGACAATTTTGAAAACTCCATTATAAATTGCATGTTGATATCCAAATCATTTTATAAATGCAATCGACTTTGTTAAATCTCCACGAAAATATGATAAAATAAAATGAGACGATCAACTTTGTATAAAAATAAAATAAAATCAATAAATTAATATGAAGTTCACAGGAAATTAACATAATGAATAATTTGTATAGTACACGGATCTAAAAAATAATAGTCACGTGGATTCAAAAATTCAACTTATACTTATCATCATTTTTTGGAAATTGAATAGTATATTTTTGGAAAATTTTTTTTAAATAATTTTAGACATGTTTTATTTATAAAATAGTTTAGAAAGATTTTAGGGGACTTCACATCTTCAACAATGATATATAAAATTTTAGATACTTTTAATATCTTAAACATACATTTTTTATGTTATTTTATACAAGATAATTTTATATTGTTTACAACTGATATACGATAAATTATGATGCATATTAACTCCACATCTTAATTACAATTATTAGTTAATATTGCTTACCCTCATATTTAATTTATAATTATTAGTCAATATTATTTACATTCATCGTTAATTTATAATTATTATTTAATATTATTTATCTGTGCATCGCACGGGCTACACACTAGTAATTTATAGATAGAAACATAATTTAATGATTCCCTCTAATTTCTCTCTCCTCTCCTCTCTTATTTCACATTTCATATTTCACAATTTTCTCCAAATAAAACAAAAAAAAAAAATTACATACAACAATTATTAAGTTGACCATCAAATAAATCAAAATAAGACTGTAAATTAACGTAAATTTTTCCGATTATTCATCAAGACTGTAAATCAAGATATATGTAAAATTTATGTGTTTGAGCAGAATATTCATTGTATTATAGTCAAGGGTAGATTGCTATTTAACCTAAGAAAAGTCAAGTCTTTAATCTGAAAAACATGCCAGCACGCTTTGTAAAGAGTAATGATATATCAGACTGGAAAATTAAATTATTTCACAACATGTTGTTATCTTTTTCCCTTTAATCACTCTTTTCATTTGAAAATTGTAGTAGTTGTCAAAGAAAAAAAAAATAGTGTTTTATGTTATGTTGTTCTGATATTTTTTTCCCAAAACGACAGATAATATTATAAATCGACTAAAACAACTAAAAGACTCCACCTTTACAAGGTTAGGGATTTCTTAAAAGTTCATATGACTTACCCTCACCACAATCAACAGGTCATCTTGCACTTGGAGTGCTCTAAGGAATAACTATTGACATTCATATGTTCCAAGTGCTTAACTGAATTTTCATAGCTTATTTTTCCCTTTGAACCAAGTTCGTGGGATCTCCACTTAGCATGGTAGGGTTACCACTACGATCATTCTTTACATTGTAGATTTTTAAGCCCATTTCCTCTAGCAAAACTCCCAATTGATCTCTATTTAATCTTTTCACCAAAGGATCGGCCAAATTTTCCTTAGACTTCACATAGTCAATGGAGATAACACCATTTGTGATCAATTGGCGTACGGTATTATGTCTACGAAGAATATGTCTAGATTTATCGTTATACAAGTTGTTTTGCGCCCTACCTATAGCAGCTTGGCTATCACAGTGAATCATCACAGGCGACAGAGTCTTATCCCAACATGGAATATCGGATAAAAAATTTCTAAGCCACTCGACTTCTTCACCAGCTTTATCTAAAGCGATGAACTCCGATTCCATCGTTGACCGAGCTATACACGTTTGTTTTGTGGATTTCCACGAAACTGCACCTCCTCCAATACAGAAAACACATCCGCTTGTGGAGTGAGAATCCCTCGATTCTGATATCCAGCTTGCATCACAGTACCTTTCAAGTACAGCTAGATATCTCGAGTATTTTAGCCCGTATTCAAAGGTGTACCTCAAGTACTTAAGTGCCCTTTTCAAAGTATTCCAGTGCTCATGAATGGAATTGCTCGTAAATCTGCTCAACTTATCGTAAATTGTAATAAGTTTGTGCATGTAATAATTGTAATTAAGAAATTCCACAAAACAGAAACTTGATTGTTAAAAAAAAAAAATATGGTTTGTTAAAAATCGAAAATTCACAAAAAAAAATAAAAGAAATTAAGGATAAACAATACGAAAAAGTAAATCTATTTCAATTTCTGCCAGCGAATAACCCGAAGCAATTAGAAGCTCATTACTCAATTTGCAATTAAACATCACCAAAACTAAATCCAAAATCATCAGCTCCAATATATTTTTATTATCTATTTATTTATTTTTTGGTAGCCAAAATCATAAGAATGAATAATCAGTCAATAATGATTGAAGCCTCGACCATAGCCCGACGTGCTCGAAAACCTGCTCAGCCGCGGGCTGCTTGCTTTCGCTGCTCCACCCGCAGGGTTCTGTTTTGGCCTAGGGTGCTGGTCTCGCCGGAACCTGGTGCTCTACCATTGGGTGATCTCGGTCTCGTCGGTGAAACTTCGGCCAGAAAATTCGGCCAGAAAACTATAAATAAACTTGGGAAAGGAAGAGAGAAGGAGAGAGGATGAAGGCTTGGGAAAATATTGAGTGAATCTGGACACTTGGGTTGTTCCGATTTTTGAAAGTGAAAGGAGAAGAATTTTTAACCCCTTGCTTGAAAATCGAGAGAAATTATGGGAGATTAAAGCGTGATTTATGGGCGGATCTTGTTTGGGGGGAGATATGGAGG